ATAGAATTAAAAGAAATGTTGAAGGATGGAATACACGATAACAATGTTGAGGAATCAACAATCAGCAAGGATGATTTAGCAGGATTTAGATGCAGATTATTACTGGATCATCCGGCAATAAATTAAAAGCATTCTGTATTCAAAGCAGAATAGGTTACTAAAGCATCAAAGGGATGAAAGGATTTGAGAAGAATTGTATCATCTGCATACATAAAAAGCTCGGAGGTCAGAAAAACATTAGACAAAAATATTAAAGAGTAAGGATCCGAGAATGAAACCCTGGGGAATACCAGAGAGAATGGCATCAGTAGAGGAGAACAGAAGAAAAGAATTATATATGTGGACCTGCTGCGGTTTGTAAGGAACGAGCAGATTAGCGAGAGAGCAAGGTGAGCAAGATCGCATAACTTGAGTTTGACTAAAAGTAGGTTATGACTGACGGTAAGTCGAAAGTCTTTGTTAAGTCCAAGATAACGATGGAAGGCGACAATTGTCGAAATTACGAAGCATGACCTTGGAGATATGAAGCAACTTCGTCTGAGAGATGAAAACCAGGCTGAGGAGGAAGAGATATTAAAATTTGAGATAAAGGCAAGTTGTGAGAAGCAGATACACTCAAGAGGCTTTGAGAAGAAAGGGGAGAGCGAGATAGGGCAAAAAGATAAAGGAGAAGAAGGATTATTAATTTTAGAAATGGGAAGAACAATTGAATGTTTTCAGGAGGAGGGACTGTGAGAAAGAAAGGGAGAAAATTAACATATAAAGAAGGGGATCAAGACATTGAGGAAAGCATAGTAGGAACATGTGACAGGAGAGATCCAAAGGCTTAACGGAAGTCAGGCGAATGCGCTTAAAAATATTGTAGAGACCTCTGAAAGTGTTCGGAGCAAAGTTGAAGGTCGAGAAAACGTGAGGAAGAAAGAAGATTAGTAAAAGTGTTAAAGAAATAAGACGAAGAAGTTAGGACATTAGGTAAATGATTATTCAGAAGCGAAGGGTTTCTAAGATCCAGAGATATAGAAGCAAAGGAGGATTGTGCATCAAGGGCACGAAGATTTCTCCAGAATTGGAGCGCAGAATCAGTTGTAAGGGAGATAGAGGGGAAGGTCTTTTTCTCATGACGAACAATATTCACATAGATCCGCAAATTTTTGTAGCGCTGCCTGTCCGCAGGAAACTGAGATCGCCTGTATTTAAGAAGGGCACATCTCTTCACGGCTCAATGAGCCGTCGGACTGCACTATTCAGCCACGGCGCGAAGAGACGAGAAACACGCCTATAAGTAATCGGGGCGAGTCGATCAAAAATTGCAAGAGAGGCAGTAAAGTGAGAAATCATCTCAATATGTGCCGCATATAAAGGGGACCAGCTCCAGCTCATATTCGATGTTCTTATTCCTAAGTGCATGAATGTTATGCGAGAAAGACACATAACCAGGACAATATAGTCGCGGAATAGCCAGCATCAAATGGGTGATAAGATGGTCACTCACACTGGTCGCATCGCTGACTCCGCACTCAATTATATTAATTATGCTCGATGAGACAAAAATAAGATTTAAAGTGGTTGCCGAATTACATTAAGCAAGTTGGAGCATCAATCAATTGCCTAAGGGAAAACAATGCGATATCGAAATTGGCATTATAATTAATTTGATCGAGCATGTCGACATTGAAATCGCTCAGACACACAATCGCATCGATTATACATGCAACACGGAATAGGCATGACTCTTTAAGTGATTCCGTTATTTTCGTCAGGTAGAGATAAGAGAAAAGGCGGCAAGACGCAACCAACTGAGGAGGCAGCAGCAGCTCCAAGCAAAGGCATCGACAACTCACCTCCAGTTTGCAACAACAGGAACGCAATTATCAGAAGGACGCGAATTATTGTCAGCGCCACAGAAAGCGCAAGGGCGCTTACGCGAAATAAACCATTTACATTTGGTATACGTCGACTAAATCATCATTCTAAAGTACATGAAATTAGACACAGTATAAGAGAATGTATTTACGCGTAGGATCGCACAACAAAGGTACGCAGTAAATTAACAAAATAATTATTTATATCTGTGTCTGTCCTTTAAACAAAGGCAGAAGCGAATGATAAACAAATAATAACGATATAATGGCTAGATTTGAACATAAAATTATTTCGTTACTATAGAAATTATTACAATGATAAAATATTACAAGAATGTAAATGAAAATTACACATTTCATGCAGTATAAACGCACTAATAAAATAACGAAACGCAGAAAGATCGCGTCAGTCTCTTACAGAAATACATTCTGCTCGCCGATCAGTATTCGCGAAAACGTCAAAAGTAAAAAATTGAAAGATAAAATTGAGATATTGTATATATTGAGATATTGTAATAATAATCAACGACTATAATAAAACGAAAAATGTGCAGCGAGGTAATAATGGATAAAGGCAGTACTTTTCACAAGAGAAAACGCAGAAATTGAACAAAAAGGCGATATCAGAGCGAAATGAC